GCCATGCTATGAGTAGCATTTTCTTAGCACTCTCAAAGCCAGCAGAGCTTAATTTTAATGCCCCAACATACCTGAAAATTTATTTTAATGCCCCAACATACCTGAATATTATGAACCCCTTTATTGGTGCCATATAGGTGCAACTAATAAAATTACCACAAAATATGTGTTTTTAATGATATCTGTGATAGTAAGTAGAAAGAAACATAAAGTGCATATGTTCCCCATGACAACCAATTGGGATCAAGATTTTCTTCTGCGCTGAAATGAAATCAACATTTTGAATGACTAATATTAGGGTTAATTGCACTTAAATAGAAATTCCTTGTAAATATAGTTCAAAGTAATGTCATTGCTACAGCCTGGGTTTATTTTAGAAAAGCAGTTCTAGTGCAACTACAGTGACATTACAGCTAGGTTCTACATTCATAGGTCTGAGGATTGCAGTGCACATACATAACCCACTACTTGTTTTCTCAGTACTATCAAGTGGAACCACACTGTTTCTTGAAACAAAGTAATATTGACATTCTGAATAGCCAAATGGACTTTATTTTTGCAAAAAACTGGATGATGTCCAACTTCCCTTTATCAAATTCCACGAACAAACAGACTGCCGTGTTGACCTAGTATGCATGTAAATATGCTTAGTACAATATTTACTCAATAACCATTTTATTGATATAGCTGTACTTTTACACTTGTCATCTTTGCTCTACTTTTAATAATATACAGCAGGCCACCCTGAAAGCTTCAAGCTGTTTCTTTGTATTTCGCTTAGTACAGACAAATACTGTGTTAATGGAAAATGGTATAAATACAGTACATCTCACTGCATTAACCTTCAGACTAGATTTGAACTTAGCCATTTTTGTGCTTTGTGTAACATGTAGTAGATTAAGCCAGCCATTTTATTTTGAACAGACCAAAAAGAATTGACATGCAGCATTTTTCCAGATGTAGTGCACCACAAGAAATTAAATGTATGGAACTGCAATGCCTTAGTGCAGTGGTGGGCAACCTTATTTTTCAACTGAGCCAAATCTCGCCAAAACCACAATTGAAATTTATTTTGAGAGCCACATTTTTAAAACTGAAAATACATCCCCCATATAGTAATTCATCCCCCATAGTAATTCATCCCCATAGTAATTCATCCCCCATATAGTAATTCATCCCCCATAGTAATTCATCCCCCATATAGTAATTCATCCCCCATAGTAATTCATCCCCCATATAGTAATTCATCCCCCATAGTAATTAATCCCCCATAGTAATTCATCCCCCATATAGTAATTCATCCCTCATGTAGTAATTCATCCCCCATAGTAATTCATCCCCCATAGTAATTCATGCCCCATATAGTAATTCATCCCCCATATAGTAATTCATCCCCATAGTAATTCATCCCCCATATAGTAATTCATCCCCCATATAGTAATTCATCCCCCATAGTAATTCATCCTCCATATAGTAATTCATCCCCCATAGTAATTAATCCCCCATATAGTAATTCATCCCCCCTATAGTAATTCATCCCCCATATAGTAATTCATCCCCCCTATAGTAATTCATCCCCCCTATAGTAATTCATTCCCCATATTGTGTCAATTCACTTACCTTTGCTCCGCGCGTTCCTCTTGCCGTGTTCCCGTGCCGTTCCGGTCTTCAGGGCGGACTGTGAGAGGAGAGGAGTTCGTCACGCTGCCCTGCCTACATCCTGACAGCCAATGTTTGCCACGCTCCGTGGGCCGGATTAAAAGGTCCGCCGGGCCGTAGTTTGCCCATTGCTGGGCTAGCTGCAGAGTCCTGACTTTTGGGGCGGCCGCCCGAGAGGAGGGAGGGGAGCGGGCTCCCGGCACACAGAAGAGCCGCATTAAAGTGTGCAAAGAGCCGCATGTGGCTCGCGAGCAGCGGCTTGCCAACCACTGCCTTAGTGAATTGTGGAGCCATTAAAAATAATAGCTCTTTGATGTTCTAACACATGTAACATGCACAAATGTACACTATAGTGCCAAACGTATTGGGACACCCCTTCAAATCATTGGATTCAGGTGTTCCAATCACCTCCATGGACACAGGTGTATAAAATTAAGCACCTAGGCATGTCCATCCATGAAATTTCCTTGCTACTAAATAGTCCACGGTCAACTGTTAGTGGTTTTATAACAAAGTGGAATCAACTGGGAGTAACAGCATCTCAGCCATGAAAGTGGTAGGTCACGTGAAATTACAGAGCAGGGTGAGCAAACTGTCTGCAGAGTCAATAGCTAAAGACCTCTAAACTTTGTGTGGCCTTCAGATTAGCACAACAGTGTGTAGAGAGCTTCATGGAATGGGTTTCCATGGCTGAGCAGCTGGATCTAAGCCGTCCATCACCAAGTGCAAAGCAAAGTGTCTGATGCAGTGGTGTAAAGCATGTCACCATTGGACTCTAGATCAGTGTAGACATGTTCTCCGGAGTGAGGAATCATGTTTCTCTGTCTGGCAATCCAATGGATGTGTCTGGGTTTGGCAGTTGCCAAAAGAACAGTACTTGTGCCAAGTGTAAAGTTTAGTGGAGGGGGATTATGGTGTGGGTTTGTTTTTCAGGGGTTGTACTTGGCCCTTTAGTTCCAGTGAAGGGAACACTTAAGGTGTCATCATACCAAGACAGTTTGAACAATTTCATGATCCCAACTTTGTGAGAATAGTTTGGGGATGGCCCCTTTCTTTTCCAACAGGACTGCGCACCAGTGCACAAATCAAGGTCCATAAACACATGGATGAGTGAGTTTGGGGTGGATGAGCTTGACTGGCCTGCACAGAGTCCTGACCTCAACCAAACAGAACACCTTTGGGATGAATTAGGGTGGAGACTGCAGGCCAGGCCTTCTCGTCCGATATCAGTCCCTAACCTCACAAATGCACTGTTAGAAGAATGGTCAAACATTCCCATAGACACACTCCTAAACCTTGTGGACAGCCTTCCCAGAAGAGTTGAAGCTGTTATAGTTGCAAAGGATGGGCCTCTCCATATTGAACCCTACAGACTAATACTGGGATGCCATTAAAGTTCATGTGTGTGTAGAGGCAGGCGTCCCAATACTTTTGGCAATATAGTGTATGTTCTGGTAATCGTGTATTAATGAGCTCTCTATCACAAAAATGTGCTTCAGCCGTTAGGGTAACATTTAGATATCACCTTATCCACTATGTTGCCATAATAGATACTAATGCTCAGGGGCGGACTGACAAGTCATGGGGCCCCCGGGCAATAGGGGATTATGGGGCCCCTGTGTCCGTGCCCAAACTCATGAAAGCCTAAGAAAAATGTACCAGGGGCATCTCATGGGGCCCCCTACTGACCCCGGGCCCTCGGGCACTGCCTGAGTTTCCAAATGGTCAGTCCACCCCTGCTAATGCTTATAGCCACTTACTGCAACTTAAAGCAGTATCTCTATTGCAACATTAATTTTTTAGAGCGGGTACCATTTTATGAGGGACAGGTACCTGCTCCCACTTTTCTCATCTATGCGAGAATATTAGAAGTTCTTCCCCACGTCACATGTCCCAGGAGCAGACTGAGGAACCATTCAGAAAACACAATCAACGGACTTTCTGCTGTCTACAAAAAAAATTGATATGCAGCAGTTTTCCAGATGTAGTGTACCACATCAAATGAAATGCATTAAGTGGAGTGGAGTTGCAATGCCTTAATGCCGTTGTGCATTAGGGAGCCATTCAAAATAATAGATAATCGCATGCTTATAGCCATACTGCAACTTAAAGCAGAACTTCACTTAAGAGTGAAAGTTCAGCTCCCCCCCCCCCCACCTCTATTGCAACCCACTCCCACTTTAAACTTTTCCCACCAATGCGAGAAAAACTGAAGTTTGCCCCCACATCACATGTCCCATGAGACTGAGAAACCATTCAGAAAAGACATCTAGCAGGAGCCATATGTGAAACAGCAGGAAGCCACATCCGGCTTCTCACAGTCAAGATGGTGGTGCCAGAGACCCAGAGACCAGGGAAGAATCAGCCGGAGGGAAGGCAGCACTGGATCCCTTGGTTGATAAGTGTCTGTTTATTAAAAGTCAGCAGTTACAGTATTTGTAGCTGCTGACATGTAATTAAGAATAAATGACTGAAGATCCTCCTTAAGACAACCCTGAGATGAGCGATCAATCACCTGAACTGGAAAAAGGAATGGAACTGGTCCTATGACCTCAACTGCTAATACATAAAAAAAAGTTAAACAATCAAATTAAACAAAAATTCTATATACAAACGCAACACAAGTCATATTGTAATTGGATGTTCTTAAAAGTTAAAAATCACCTTTGCTTTTCAATCTGCATTCCTATCATGGCAACCTGGAGGCCTTATGTACACAGATGGTGTATGGAACGTCACCAGAAACATCATTTCCTGCTTGTGTAATTGGCTTACTCATTTTCCCAGAAGTCTGCACTAACATACAAATCACATTTTGAGAATCCCCTGCAACAAAAATGTATATTTTAGTGAGATACTCCAAAAGGGATATCAAATGTAAAGGGATGCAGATCCTGCCACTTGCCACTTAACTTAATTTTGCATATGGACACAGACAATTAAACAGATATTTCTTCAGAATAACATAAGATAGGAATCTGAAACAAAGTTTGTTAAAATCCTTGTAATGTACATAGATCACCCAGAAAGGAATGGTTTTTTTTTCAGCAAAAAGTGAAGTTATTCTTAATCGCCTCCCGCCCGCCATATAAGGAAATGATGGGCGCAAGGTGGTTCTCTTGTTCTGGGAGGACGTCATATGTGTCCCTAGGACAGGACACAGCAGATCACCGATCAACGGAAAGAGCAGAAGAAGTCGGCTCTGTCATGTGATCAGCTGTTTCCAATCACAGCTGATCGCATGTAAATAAGGAAATGCTGGTTATCGGCATTTCTCTCCTCACAAGCTGTCAGCATGAGAGGAGAGCCGGTAATTGGCATTACTCAGAGGGGACATGTACACTGATCATCAGTGCCCTGATGATCAGTGTAGCCTCAGCAGTGCCACCTGTCAGTGCCCATCAATGCCAGCTGTCAGTGCCCATCAATGCCACCTACCAGCGCCCATCAGTGCCTACCAGTGCACATTAATGCCACATGTCAGTGCCCATCTGAGCTGCCTTTCAGTGCCACCTATCAGTGCCAATCAGTGCCACCTATCAGTGCCAATCAGTGCTGCCTATCTGTGATGCCAATCAGTGCCACCTATCAGTTCCAGTCAGTGCCGCCTATCAGTGCTCGACACTGCTTCCTATCAGTGCCAGTCATTGCCGCCTATCAGTGCCACCTATCAGTACCATATATGAGCGCTGCCTTTCAGTGCCCATCAGTGATGCCTTTCAATGCCCATCAGTGCCACCGAACAGTGCCTCCTCATCAGTGACCATCAGTGCCGCTTATCAGTGCCCATCAGTGCAGCTTCGTTAGCGCACATTAGTGAAGGAGAAAAATCACTTATTTTCAGAATTTTATAACAGAAACTAAGAAAAAAACTTGTTTTTTTTAAATTTTCAGTTGTTTTTGTTTTGCTTAGCAAAAAATAAAAAAATCCAATGGTGATTAAATACCACCAAAATAAACCTCTATCTGTCTCAAAAAAATAAAAATTCCATATGAGTACAGTGTTGCATGACCGCGCAATTGTCATTAAAAGTGCGACAGCGCTGAAAGATGAAAACTGGCCTGGGCAGGAAGGGGGTATAAGTGCCCTGTAGGCAAGTGGTTAAAGTGTTTTCTTAGACTGCTAATGAGGAAGAAAGGGAACAGCTGCTTGTTTCATTATCACATTACTTTGTTTTACCTTTTGTAATCTTTTAAGGATAAATTCATATTTCCTTGCTGTTGCTTGTATACAAAAGCCTTGAACTCCATGGCCACATATTAAAAAAAGGGCCTGTGAGTTTATTATTTCAAGACAGTTGTTCGGAGTTTGATTCCATTTACACACAGTGCCTGATGAATATTTCCTTGTGGTAGCTACAACATGACGAAAAAATCTTAAACTGTACATTAGTAATACACAATAGCTGCAGCTGTTTTGTTCTGTGAAAATGTCAGTTTTTATTGAAAGATATATTTTATATATGAAGCTAAACATCCCTCTAGTGGCCATTTGTTTGAATTACAACAAAGAAATAATATTTTGGGCAAACACATTAGTTTTTTTTTTAAATAACTAGTACTCTTCATCATAGATATTAAGTATGTGTAGCATTTGAAAAAAAAACTCAGTGGGGAAGTGGAAACATCATACTCCTAATGTAGCACTACCCCCTTAGGGGCTGCTGGATTTGAATTGGGTACCCCTATGCTCTGCAACACGCATCTTCACACTCCTTGGGCTTGGTTTTTTGTTTTTTTTTTTATCAAGGGATTAAACTTGGATTGGGTCTAGAGGTGTTTGGGATGCCTGAGGAACTGCAGGACTTGGGGGAAACTCCTTAGCAACTATGTACAAAGGTTTGGATTAGCAACAGTCTTTTCTTTAAGAGCACCAAAGGCTCTTAGTTGTACCTCCTTAGACCCTAGATGATTGCTCCTCTTCACCCAGCTGCCTGAGGGTATCCCTGAGCAAGGGGGCCCAGGAGCTGTTAATTTAGAACAGTCCCAAATGAGAAGCTAGTTGGGTCTTGCATCCACTGCCCTCTCCCCTTATCTGGCCCAGGGGGTGTTCTCACATTGTCCTCTCCTGTTATCTTGGTGGGTTGGTGGCTACCTTCAGGCCTTATGCTGGGCTGGCTTCTTGCCTGCTACACAGGCGTTCCTTCCTGTGAGACGCTGAGGCAGTGGAGATCCTCTTCTCCAGCGACCTGCCTGTAGGTAGACTTCCCTCCCTGGGCCCCCCTCCCAGTCTCCACACTCCAGCCTTCCTCAATCCATCTTCTACCCAACACTGCACACCTCCCCCCAGGTTCTGCCATATTTGAGGGTTGCCCTACTCATCATGCCCAGCCTCGTGCTAGAGATTGGCCAAGGTCCCTCAAAACATGCAGATCTGGGGCTCCTTCCCTCCTCTGCCCCTCTTCCAGAAAGCTCTCAGGTTTATGGAAAGGTGGGGGGGCTCCAGAAACCCTGACCTGTAAGAGCCTCTTAGCCTGTCCTGAGGAAACCTCACTACCTTACTCCCCAGACTGACTCATCTCCAGGCTGCTACTGTCTAACAAAAACGATCTAAATAGCCCGGAGGGTGTTACATCCATCCCCCGATACAAAACAGCCATGTCCTCACTGGCTGGGGAAAAAATGACTCCTAAGCCCAGGAGCAGAGCATTCTATATAAAAAACATGGAGGGGAAAAGGGAACAAACTTGGAAGGGGATATGTAAAAAAAAAAGAAAAATAGAATATGTACACTTTACATATTTACATTTGCAACATATGTACAGCCTGACTACAGCTCCCTATGGCTAACAGCAGGAAAAGAAACATATCGACATATATACATTAAAATTAGCATGGAGCACCTCCCCTTGAGGGAAACCCTCCATAGCAACAGCAACTCTACTTGTTCTTGAGAAGGAGAGGACATCTGTCCTGGGGTACCTGCAGAACAGTAAGAAAAGGAAACACAATCCTAGCTATAACTAGCAAACTCAAACATTCTCAGTGGAAGGCGCTTCAGCAACAGTTCGTTTTATATAAAAAAAAATAAGTAACCACACTAGATATCCTCACTACCTCACTTCCCAGGCTGACTCATCCCCAGGTTGCTACTCAGCCTCTATCTTAACCAGGGGCGGACTGACAACTCATGGGGCCCCCGGGCAATAGGGGATCATGGGGTCCCTGTGCCCTTGCCCAAACTCAAAAAAGCCTATGAAAAAGGTACTAGGGGCATCTCATGGGGCCCCCCACTGACCCCGGCCCTCGGGCAGTGCCCGAGTTTCCAAATGGTCAGTCCGCCCCTGATCTTAACCACTTGCCCTCCTGAGGATTTAACCCCGCTTCCTGACCAGGCCATTTTTTGCATTACGGCGTGACATTATTTTAACTGTCAATTGCGCAGTCAAAAAAAAATACTGGCAATTTTGAGAAAAAAAACTATATTTTTGACTTTTTGATATTAAACATGTCCAGTAAAAAATTTTTAAAAATCTAATTTTGTCATACAGTTAGGCCAAAATGTATTCTGCTACATGTCTTTGCTAAACAAAAAATCCCAATATATATAAATGAATTGGTTTATGTGAAAGTTATAGCGTTTACAAATGGCGGTATATATACTGGAATTTTTTTTTACTAGTAATGGTGGCGATCAGAGACTTATAGTGGGACTGCTGGACTGCGACGGACAGTCTGACACTGGGGGGAACTGACTTTGTGTCACTGATATCCTCAGTGACACCAATACAGTGATCAGTGCTAAAAAAAGCACTGACACTGTACTAATGGCAGGCAGGAAGGGGTTAACATGAGGGGCAATCAAAGGGTTAAGTGTGTGCTGGGGTGTTTTACTAGGGGGGGGGCTGTGTGTCTGTGTGCTTCACTGTAAGCATCCAAAGCAGTGTGCCTGAGCTGACAGGGAGAACTGTTAGTAAAGAAAACAGTTCTCCTCCCCGTCGGAGATCCTCGGTAATCACCAGGTGCTGGCAAGTAATCGCAAGCCAGTGCCTACCCTCTAACAGTATTTCTGCTATAGGGCGGTCGAGAAGTGGTTAAAAAAAACTACCTAACTAACCTGGAGGGTGTTACATTAACATACAGTATATCACACACTTATCCTTTAAATGAAAGTTCCCATATGTGATCATTGTCACTTTTTCACTTTTTTGCAAAAACAATTCTTAAAAAGACACTGTGCCCAGCTTGCACCCACCATCAGTCATACATTGGTCTCCAAATCTGTATTTCACAAAGTTCTTAAATGACAGCATTGTGTTTAATACAAACACAAGAAGGCTTACCTCCCCTACCTCCCAGAATAATGGGGAAAGAGATCTGTTTTTCTCAACAGCACTTGTACAGTACACTTGTACACTTGTATCGTAGCATTCACAGCAGATTTCTCAAGTGACCCAATTCCTGGGACACCTGTTTAGTCGGCTGCTTCTCCTCTAATTCTCTCCTGTGTGTGTGGTAGTAGTTCTGTAAAGTATTACAAAACAAATTGTGCAGACTGCGCCATAAAAATTGTTTTACTGCACTCCTTTAAGGACTGCTCCCCACTAAGGATTGGCACCTTTGGGGGGGGGGGGGGGGGTGGGGAGAGGGTACCCGAATTTGACAGGTACCTGCTCCCACTTCCGGTCTAATCGCCTAGGCGATCGGAATTGGAAGGTGTCCTCCCTCCCTCCCTGTAGTCTTTTGGGACATGTGACAGGTCCCAGAAGACTACAGGACCACACATGAAGTGCATGCACAGTGGGTACCCAGCTGTGAAGCCGCAAGCTATCACAGCCGGGTGCCCACACTGAAGATGCCAGCCTCCTAGAATACAGGGCTGTGGGGGACACACCGCTGGACCGAGGGACAGGTAAGTGGCTGTTTTTTAAAGTCAGTAGCTACAGTTTTTTATAGCTGCTGACTTTTATTTTTTGACAGGATGAGTGGAAGTCCACTTTAAGAAAAGAAGCAGATGCAGTTGTGACGATGTCATCTTTTATATTCTCTTTATTCTTTTTATATTTTCAGGCTATTAACTGCAGTCAACATTTCCCCCCAAGTCTATCAGCGCAAGATGTCCTTGAACTTTCAAAAGTCATCAGTGTGAGGTGTCCATGCAGTTTCAATGGTCATCTTCAAGGACTACTGAACCCATAAAAGGAGAGAAGAAAAAGTTGACTGTCAATAACAGTGTCTCAACCAGGTTGGAAGCTTGGACGAGACAGTATTGCTACTGCAACATTGATGGACATCATGCATCCTGGTCTTCAGCCTTCCTTGTCACTGGATTTTGTACCCACATTCCCTCAATAAGCCTTCTCACCACTACCTGGAGTCTCTGCACTTCACCCCACAAAGGTACCCATTCCTATCGTGGCACTTACCATGTC